AATGTGGGTTGATGGTCTGGACCATTTTGTTGCCGTAAAACATGAACATGGTTTAATTCATGGCACTAAGAATTATGTTTTCTTCTGGAGAATATCAATCATTTCTTGATCTCTGGCTCACTTGATTTGAATATGCAGCAGGGCAAGAAACTAAAGTAGTCAACAGGAGGTCCAGCCAAGAATGGCTAAAAAAAACATGAAGAGTAGCCTAGGTGAAGTTGAGACTTTAATCGAAAAAGGATGCTTGGAAAATCCCTAAAATGTGTCCAATTTGGAATATTTTTGCAAAGAAGATTTGAAAAACAAAGGATGGGATATCGGATGGATGGATGGATGGATGGATGGATGGATGGATGGATGGATGGATGGATGGATGGATGGATGGATGGATATCATATAGAGTCTGATTCTCTTTAAGTAAGGACTCCTTTGAAAACTGCAAAGTCTAAAAGAAACCTGTATGGGGGCGAAAACATTTCCAACTGTACTCTATTCATCCGTGTATATTAAATGTATATGAATTTCACTTCTTGAATGTAATTGTTGAAATAAACAAGCTTTTCAGTGAATGGAAATGTTCCTGTTTATATCTGATACATAGATTAATTTAAATGACATCCTCTACCACATCAGCATGCTTCAATTATGCACTGATGTTCCACACTTTACCTCTATACAAGAATAGTAACTTGAAATGAGTCCATCTATCATCTCATATGAGTGGCTATGTTTATTTTTTTACAATAACACAAGATGTTCTTATTAAAACAAATGCATGTCTAATCAAAAAACAATGATTCTGTCTCACATTGCCACACGAGGGAGAGATCCATGCTATACGTACATTTGTACAACCTAGACTGCTGGGCACCGGGTATTTATAGGCTGCGTTGGACGTAAGCCCGATGGTCATTGATCCCCCACCATGATAAGATCCTCTGAAAGTTAAACAGAAACTGTAAACATTAAAGACATATTTATCTTAGAGAAAAATTTATGACAATTTCGCTTTGGTGGCGGACACTGAAGAAGTTTAATTTCAATCGTCTTACAGTCAGCTTTCTTTTAGTTGGTTAATTGGGTATTTCTAAAAAAAAAAAAAAAAAAAGCAGTCAGAACTCGTATAAAAAAGCAAAGTTGGACCTCAAAGTGATAATATCGAAGCTGCCAGTGTAGAGACGAGCAATCAACATCGCAAGATCATTGGCTTCAGTGCCGCTGTTTGTTAGAAAAACCACCTGTGTAGGGAAACAGATTTTAATTGCAGAATAAATTCACATACTCGCAAATAGTCTATAAAAATACACCACCGTACCTTCAGAGGATCAGGGAGGTAGGAGACAAGTTTTTCACAGTACTCATGGAGAGTAGGATAGGCATAAATATGAGTGGTATGCCAAAGTTTTCTCAGCTGTTTTTCTGCTGCAAGAGTTACTTTCCTGTGCACATATGGATATCAAAAAGCAAATATAAATATGCAAAATGGTTGGAAAAAGGGGCTGTAAACAACAACAAAAAAATCTGTCTCAGTGGGAAAAAAATGAAAAAAGGACCTTACGGGTGGCAGTGGCCCACGCTGACGGTGGCCACACCAGCAAATAGATCCAGATATCGGTTCCCATCCACATCCCACAGATACTGCATGTATCCCTGATGGATGAACACTGGTTTCTTATAGTAAGTAACTTTCATGGTCATTGGGTTGCAGATCTGTTTGCGGATCTCAATAATTTTTGCTTTTGACATTCCCTGGAGAGACACATGACAGAGTTAAACTTAAATAGTAATACAGCACAGTAGGCTTTATTTGAAGCTGCATTTTTCAAATTATAAAACGGAGGCGGCTGAAGTCTTTTTTTTACTATTACAAACTTTTGGATTGATAACTCTTATATTTATACAAAACAAAACAGCCCATTGGTTTTTGGTGTGTCTGCATAATTTGTCACTTACCTTGTATTCCTCTGGACTGAAATTGCAAGAGGGCATCTCTGGTATATCCGTAGGAGGGCATCTCAGTTCTGATTTCTGACATGATGCACCTGTGAAATCATTTTTATTTACAGAGTCAAGTTACAACAATCTTCAATGTTTATTGCTGGTGTTTTACATGATAGATCAACATAAATCAGGGAACATTTGTTAAACGGGGGGGGGGGGGGTGTGGGGGTCATTTCTTTTATCTTTTGCAAATGGAAATTTGAAATTATTCAGTTTCTTAAAAAGATTTTTAAAAGTTGTTTCAACCCTTCAATGAAGGGAGCCAACAAAGCTGACAATCTTTGTGGTGCACGTTTACCAGACCTACAGGACTGAACAAAAAATCAAGTATAGTCTTTTTTCTTTGCAAAATAGCTTAAGGTCACTCAGGTTGGATGGAAAGTAGGCTACTCTTGAATAGCAAATATCCAGTCCTGCCACAGATTGTACTTTCAAATTAGAGCTAGACATTGGGTCTTTTTGATATATAAATATACATAAAGGTAGATTCAAAAGTCACAGCAAGATACCAAGGTATAATGCCAAGTGAATTTTTTTTAAATAAATATTGTCACCAATTGTTTATACTGTGCGTTCTGACTTTCTGAATAACCAGATATATACAATTTGAGATATTATTATTTATATTATACTATTATGTTTGAAGATATAAAATTTGCAGAGAGAAAAACTCAAAAACTGTCTCTTCTGTTTCTTGTTTAAGAGTTTTGCTCTCTTAACGGCTGCTGCTTCTAAACTAGTTCGATCCAGATTCAGTCTCCATGGTAACTCACCGCTCGCCCAGTGGATTTTTGATGAAGAGGTCGCGCGGCTTGGCCGTCCCGTAAGAAATGCCGAGGAACGGCCACCTACATAAGATACAACTTTAAACATGTCGAACAGCCACCAAAGGATTCACCTTGTACAACATTCACCCTGTCCGGCATTTATACTTGTTTTCCTCTTCAAGGTGGGCGTACATTGGCGCTGCTTCGTCAATGGTCCTCTCCTCTTCCGACGTATTGAGAGGTGTGCGCCTGCAGGAGCTCACAACTAAAAGCACTTCCATGGGCCCCATTATTACTTGGCCAAAATCCTTAATGCACCTTTACCCGTAGTACAAGGAAAAAAGTAATAAATACCATGTTATTTTTATTTATTATCATAATAAATAAATAAAAATTTAACCCTTGAAAATTACTTGGCCATGTAGTTATTATTTTTGCTTACATTAAAATATCAAAAGATCTAAAAAAAAAAAAAAATGTATTAAATTTAAAGATAAAATTCAGGTGTAAAGGTGTGCTTTAGGACAAATAGTACAGGATTATATTCCTCACCTACAGCGGTGCAAAGAAAGAAAATATAGTTTGTAGTTGCAGAGACAAACAAAACACTTGTGACTTGATCTGGACTTTGGAAAGATGACGTAAACATTCATTAAGCTCCTTGCCACAAAAGCACATGACATATTTTATGCTGTGCCTTATGCTTTACTGTGCATTTATACAATCCTTCTATTATAATCCTATAGAATGTTTGGAAACGTTTTGATGCATGGCATTCACATATAATGTGTTACCTATTGATGGCATTAAATTATTTCATTTGCACGAACAGCAGTTGGTATATTTAAAATGAAACTTTTTCATTATAATTAAGATTATGGCATTAAATCAAAAATATATCAGACATATTTAGACTATGTTAGCAGGGTTCAGGGCTACAAAAGCAGCCATTTAAATGGAATATTGTAATACATTTGAAATAATGTGATCAAGATGTCACTTGTTAAGGGAGATTTTACCGAACATTACTGAAGATGCATTTATAAATGATATCATCTCAGTTTTGTGTGACTCGTTGATAAATCTGAATTGGTGAATCTTAATTGCACATTTAACCTGCCAAAAAAAATAGTGGTTACAAAAGATTCAACCACAAAAGAACTAACCATGTTGTAAACTTTTTTGTCTTAGTGTAAAAAGAAAATAAACATTCTGTTTCAGCATAAAGTAGATTTATTAAAAAACTCCATTTTGTTAAAGCAAGCTCTCAAAAATAATTTCGATGGCTGTATCTTTTGCATGCAAATATCGCCACAGGTGTAACTACATGTATACATATGAACACACGGCTGTACTTTCTTATAAAGGGCGATCCAACAGTCATGACACAATTATCCCATCAAAAATTTCACATCTTTATAGATTTCTTCAAATCAATAAATGTATGTACATAAAAATCTTTTTTTTAAATGAAAAATAGCTTTAAAAATCCTGGCTTATTTTTTTCTTATGTTACACATCCACACACACACACACACACACACACACCCCATCACAAATATTAAAAGACATATATAAACCAAATAAAGCATTTGAAAATTTTTTTTTTTTTTTTGACTGGATGGAAGCAACATACACCAAAAGACATTCTCTCTTTCAGCATTTCTATAATGGTCCAATAGCAACTTTTAGCATGTGAACAAAATTTCCTTACAACAAAGTTCCCACTGGTGTTTAGTAGCTGCGATGAGAGCTGGTGGCGTTTTTATATCTGTCTAATGATTCCCGCTTCTACCAAGTGTTGTAATGGTCTGGGGCATATTTAAAATCAGCACAGAAAATACCAAAAAACATACAAACTTTGCATTGATTTTTACAGATCCACCCCTCAGAGGAAACAGCCAGGCAGGTACAATAGGAGCATCCCCTCACTGGGTCAATTGATCTATTTTCTTTTCTATTTTTCTGAGGTTTGCATGTCTACAGTACGCAGCAAGCTTAAGATCTGTTTTTAGAGGTAAAAGCAGTGTACAGTTGACCAAAATAATAACCCAAAGTACCTCATAATCATAGATAATTCTTTTTTTTCACAACCTGAATAAAGAATATACTTCTAATCGTCTGAAAAACATGTGTATCTTAAAATCAATGTTTTACCTTGAAGGAATTAGAATAAATATTTCTGTGAAAGCATTCAGTGTCAGCATAGTTTTTCTCTTTTTTTCCTTTTTCGCTTCCTAAACTGAAAGTGATCTGCTAGCAATGTCCTTCAGCTGAGTATTTGCAACATCTAGTAAGTGGGAAGGCCAAACATGGTGGCGGTGTCAACGTATCCACTGGCCATCCTGTCATCCAGAATGGGCAGGGTGGAGTTAATGCCGACCATAGGCTTCTCCGAAGTTGGAGTGATGGATGCTGTGTAGCCATTCGATGTTGCTCTGCTTTCCACTTCTTCTTCACTAAGGCATATTCCCATCTCTTCCCCTGTGGACTCTTTTTGAAGCAACAGCAGACCACTGTCATTGTTCACCGTCTTCACCCTGCTGTAGTGCTCCGTTTGATGGCTCATGGTACCGCTGTTTTCTTGGCCTGCAGACACAGGGTGAAGGAGAACCATATTCCCACCACTGACCCTCTGGACCTCCACATATTCGGTGGACCTGACGCTGGGCGCTTGGACACCTAAGGAAGCTTCTGTGCGGTCGACGTGTACCCAGCTGATTTCGTTCTGAACCTGGAGGTGCTCTTTGCCCGTTGTCTGGGGATGGAGAGGATGTTGCTTGTGGTTGAAGTTGCACTCCCAGGGATTTGATCTAAAGTCATTTTTAGTGCTGGGAGGCTGAGTAAAGTAAGAGGGAAGGGAGTCTGGGTTGAGCAGGCTATCTGAAAGGCAGTGTTTTTTCCCAATCTCAGGGGGGTTTGGTTGATTCATCAGGTTGTACCGGGGTAGTGGGGAAATCAAAGAAGGCGTGAACTTCACCTTCTCAGAAATATCGGGGCTATTCTTTTCGTCACAGCATGCTAGGAGGTCTTCCTCCATGACTTCCTCTGGGCTCGTTGGAACCCTCTCATCCTGACTACCCTCCTGATCGGACTGTAGCGCCTCCTCTTTGTCTCCTCCGCCCTTATCGATGAGCAGGGTGTGGCTGTCACAGCTGCCCCGGCCAGAGTCATTGTCACAGGTGGAGTTTTCAGATTTGATGCTATCATCTTGAAGATCTTTGCTGTCTTCCATGATAAGTTCCTGCTCCTCTGGAACAAACACCTCTAGGTTTTCCACAATAAAGTCCTCATAGTTGGATGTGGTTGGAGGGAAATCAGACACCACCAATGAGCTAAAGATGTCCTCAAACTTGCCATTCTACACATAAAAAAAAAATCTGGTTAAAAATATGTCCTGAAGCAAAAAATAGTTTTAATTAGTTTTCAGCACAGTGAAGTACATGTGGATTACCTTGAGAGCTTTTTTATCAAATCCTTTGATTTTAGGTCCTGGCACCGGTGGCAGAACGTAGTGCTTCAGACTATACACACAGAAAGTTAGAAAGATCATTAGAATATTATTCCCTTAACTTCTCTATGTTGTATGAAGAGTATGAAGTTTGAAATTCTTGGTCATAACAGTAGATTTCTTATATTCGCAATAAAATGTGAATAAAACCAATTATAATAGTATGTAGAGCCTGATCAAATGTCATCCTGCTAGTGTTATAACTATGATATTATGATACTACTTGTCACTTTAATAAACATCAACTCAATTTACAAAGAGAATTGCAAAGTTTCTCACGAACACAAGCAAGGCGACCAGTTGATAAATGATCATTTATCAGCATAAAAGCAGTAGCATATAAAGTTTATGTGTTACTGCTTTAACCCCGTTCATTAGAACAAATTGTGAGCTACTACTGGGTATTGGGTTAGATGTCATATTACATCTAAAGAAACTGACAATGAATTCAGCAGCAAATAAAACTAAATAATTGCTCAAATCACTGTACAGTTTTATTCCTATAAAGGAAATATAAATGCATATAAAACTGATGCAGACATAAAGTTTGGATTTTTCAGAACTGTTGGTCTTTAGTTTACTTTTATGCCTTGATAATTAAAACACAATATTAAATTACGCTGATGAAGATTCTCAGTCATTCAGGTCATAGTCATTCCGTAAAAGTTTCAAATCTTGGAAACCAAGTCCAGTAGATATTTTTCGAACTTTTACGGAATTTTAAATTACTGGAGTGTTTTTAAATCTCTTGTCAAAACCCACCTTTTCTTTTGGGCTTTTAACACCTAGCAAGACAGTGAGCTTTAATTATTTTTTTAATCTTCCTTCCTTTAATATTTCTTTTATCTTTTACCTATTTTTATTAATTTAGTTTTGAGAATTTTATTTCCCCATTTTTTAGCTGTTTTTTTTTTTTAACTGAAATGTTTATGTTGTTGTTTTTAAGTGCTTAACAAATAAAATTGAATTGGATTGAATACTCTACAACTTATTTGTGTGCAAAATAATATGACACTTTATCACACTTGTTAACTCACAAACATATTAAAATTGTTTTATGTAATTTTATGCATCAATACTCAGCCACACAATAAAATGAATAATAATAGTTCTATTTCTTTAACATACTTTATTTTTTGAATGTTTACTTCTTAGTTAGATTCTTTAGATTATGGCTTCAGGAGTTGACATATTTTATTATTATCTATTTTAAAGTCTAACTGTAAATTACCTAAACTTTGTTAAATGTTAGAGGCCTTCAGTTAGATAAGTAAAGAACGTTGTAGTCTATAAACCGTCAGCAATGAGAGGGAGGTTTATATGCCAAAACTGCACTAGTCTGATTTGCCCTTCATTTATTAAAGTATGTTAATGTGTAAAATATCTAAACACATAAACAATTAAAAACATGAACTCTTACTTGTGAATTTTCATGTATGACAGCCAGATGAAGGTGAAGGTGAGGATGATGAAGGCAGCAAAGACTGCAATAAGGATCCACATTGACCTTTCTCGTGGGAAATCTAAAAGAAACAAAGCAATAAAAACAGATAAATGTTTCCATTCATCCAAAACCTCTTCATTGCTACAATTTTTTATTTTTTAACTTCAAGTATTAAATCTTAGAGTGGACATGTGAAATACTGGGGGGGCATTCAAGGATGCTTACCCTGACGAAACACTTTATAAATGAATTCACAATTTCAAAACATGCTTGTTCGGTTTTCTTTGTAGTTAATTACTTACTTGTGCCTGTTAGGATAAGGTTAACTAAGCATGTAGGTCATAGATGGGAGTATGGCAAACATAGCAATGGTTTTCAGTAAAAATAAACCCTCCCGCAGCTTTCTACATTAGTGAATTCACACAAAAGCAAGTTGCAGAAGTCCACCCTTACCAGAAAAAGCTAAAAATCCACTCCTCAGAGTTAATAATTTATTGTTTTATTAAAGAAGAATCCGATTCATGATATGTTAGATGTCATTAAATCTAGTTCAGATATCTTGACTGTTTCACCCAAAGTTTTGAAACTTTGCAAAAGCATTTATATTATTTTCACCAGCTGCAAACTTGAGGGTATTTTACTTTTATTTTGAACAAGTGGATTGAATTTTCATAACATAGTGAAAGCAAAATGTCAGTTATATTTTTATATATATTGTAATTGTGACTTTAAAGGATTTTAAACATTAGAGACAAATGGAAATGACTATCACAAAGTTGTGCATAATTGTGAATATTAATTTTGTTTCTTCAATTCTCAAGGGCAAAATCCTCCTAAAATCAAACATTTGTTTCTGAACAGATGATGGGCATGTTGTGTGCAGTGAATATCTGAAGGTCTTACAGTCTGGAACTTTGACGAACGTCGTGCCACTCCATTCACTCCAGAAGCCATGATCAGGCTTGCATCGAACCTGGACATGATATGTACTATCTGGTCTCAGGCTGAAAATGTTGAACACCTTCTGCTGGCCTGCAGGATGCACCTGAAAAAGAAACATAATGTAAATAACAGTAAGATAAGTAACTAAAGCCAGCATATTGTATGTTTTGTTGTTTTTTTTTTACATGAAACTCTTTGTGACATATGAGTCAAGCCTTTATCATGAGGGTTTGGCTAAATGCAAATTTCCACATTTGAAAGACAAATTCTCAAACCACCGGGCTACTCCATCCCACTGGAAAAAGTTTCCTTACCTCCCATTCATCTTCATTCTCCAGCTTGATTCGGAGCTCGTAGATTAGAGTAATCCAACCCGAACGGGTGTCAGCCTTTTCAGGAGGTTCCCAAGAAACTCGAAGGAAAGGCCAGTTTGTGTCCTCTATGACAGTCACTGTCACCTCTTCTGGAGGATTTGGCATTACTGGGGAGAAAATCGGAGAGGACATCTGATTTACAGACCTGAAGAGAAACACTGAAAGTTTGTAGACTACAAATGTTCGATGTTGAGATCAGTGAAATAAGCTGACATTAACTGGTACCCTTTCCATTTTTTTTTATTTAGTAAAGGTTCTCATGTATTCATCCATTTTCCATCACACTTATCCCAAGCGGGGTCACGAGAGGTGCTGGTGCCTATCTCCAGCTGTCTACGGGCGAGAGGCGGGGTAAACCCTGGACAGGTCGCCAGTCCATCACAGGGCAACACAGAGACAAACAACAATTCACGCACACACTCACACCTATGGACAATTTAGAGAAGCCAATTAACCTAACAGTCATGTTTTTTGGGCTCTGAGAGGAAGCTGTGGGAGGAAACTGACATTAACTGGTACTCTTTCCAATTTTTTATTTTTTTTTTATTTAGAAAAGGTTCTCAAAGTTAACATTATTTTTGTTGGTATTTCCAAACTTCTTCTTCCAAAACAGTCAGGCGGTGAATACCTTAAAAACTTTTAAAATACATGCAAAACATTACAGCATTAAAACCTGTTCCAGATGCTTTGCTTTATTCTGGGCTTTCTCAGATCTACACCAGTTCAAAATGATACCTACACGCCCAAACTACTGCCACCATTTTTGAACCCCTGGTATGGTTTCTTACAGTAGGTCTAAAGCCACTGTATCCAGAAAGCTCAATTTGCGACTCATCTGACAATCAAATGTTTCTCTAACAGACTTTAGGCTTCTCCATTTAGGAAGACACAAATTTCCCCTTTGCCTGAGGGTAGAACATTTTGAGCAAAGGCTAACTTCTTGGCATTATCCTTCTACATCAACACAAGTTTTATTCTTTCAAAACATATTTTCTACCTAAATTCTCCCAGTAAGACGTATCAGTGTTGTAATATCGAACCTTATAGCATACTCTACTTTCCACTCACCGATGTAAACGACATCTATTTCAACGGGATCCGAAAATGCTCTACCCAGTGCGTTGGTGGCCACAACGGTGATGTTGTAGGTCACCCAGATGGATGTGTCATTCTTGTTAAAGAAGCAGGAGTTCTTTCCGGCCGTTTTGTAGTCGGGACACTCGTACACTGTGTCAGAGCTGACAGAGGAAGGAGAAGAGCATGTATTTGATTCTGCAATGTTACATGGGGAAAAACCAGTGCATATTATTTGTAATGCAATCTTTAGAAGAAAAAAAGTATATTTAGGAATGAACCAAGTTAATACATATAAAAAAGGGAAAACATTTATTACAACTAATAGGAGACACTGGAAGAATTAGGCCTAAAAGGCCGGAAATATCTCAGTATTTTGACCACACTGCAAACCTCTTTCACTCCATCTTGTGTACTGATGTTACCTTGTGTTCCGTTTTGTTGGTATAAAGAAACACTTAGCAACCACTGAGGGCTAAAACCCCATTAGACCTGTGGTAGTTAAATGAGCAGAGGCTTTGAGAGTTGGTTTTGAACACATGGGAACATCTTGTTTTAACGGTGGCAGCAGCTGCTACTGACAGAGCAGAGGACTTGCAGGAAGCACTTCAATGCTAATCTAGATGAAACATCTATTTTCAGGTAGTGGGATGAAACTCCCAAGCTCTTCTTTATGTTTTATAATACACTTGGATTAAAAAAAATACAAGAATAAGACTCAAGCACAGATTTAAAAATGAATAGAGAGCTTACTGTCTTTCTAAAAATCTAACCTGACATTGCACATTAGAGTCAAATCTCTTAACCTAGGCTTGTAATAGACTGAGGACCAAGCCTTTAAAGCTCAGATGACTTTACCCATAACAAAATTGGTATTGTTTAGAAAAAAATTTAAAAAGACAAAGATACCGGTAATAGAATATTATTTACAATTTAAGGGAAAGAACACACCAGTTGCGTACCATTTTTTAATCTCCAATCCAATTTAGGGTACGACTAGGCAAGGTGAACAGATCTGCACAGATTATTTTCAATTGTTTCTCTGTGCTACATAAAAATTAAGTTTCTCTCATTTGACTTGGACAGATTATAAAAAGTCATTAAAAAATAAATTTAAAGAACACTAGTGCATTCTATAAAGCAAAGCCCCAGGTTATGAGTCTGTGCGTCATCTCAAACTAGAACAGATAGAGATTGTTCTAATGCCTATATTAAAAACATTATGAGAACTACGCCTAAGAAAAGAAAAGTGAGGTAATTCTCATTCTTTTTTTTTGAGAGATACGCTGCGCTTACCTGCTCTGTCTGCCCCTCATTATTTTGTTTTTGTGAGGCTAAAAAAGAATCACTATTTTAGTATATCTGTTGTATCTCCTCCTAAATAAATTACTTTTTTTTTTTCTCGAGTAGGTCGATAAACTGTGTTTCCTGTCCCATGTTGTTTTTGTGAGGCTCAAAGAGGATCACTACTTCATCCGTTTTTTTCCCCCTCCTGAACTCCTATCGTGGGCAAAGTATTTTTTTTAATGTTCCATAGATTTTTTTTGTATGAGTCTATCCTGCTTGCTATATACATTATGTGCACTTTTTCTTCATGTGATTATCTGATTTTATTTTATTTTTTTCACCCAAAGTGCATAAAATCAGTTGTGATCATCCCCATTGATTCTTAATGAGCGCTAAACACCTCGTCCGACACGATTTTCTGTCGCAACAGGCTGAAATTCAGTGTGTTCTGGCCTTTAACTGGGTCTCAGAAAATAAATTCTTAATTAAATGCATAAAATATTAAATCTGAACACCAATGTAAAGTCAAACAGTGGACTGACATGCCATGGATGCTCTACAGTTTAGGGTCTTCTTTAAAGAGATGTAAGTTGATCTACAGTAAACAACCTGTTGCTTAAACTGGCTCCCACACTTCCTGGGTACAAACCACAAGGCAAATCCAATGGATAAAAGCCACACTTCAAACAGCTCTTACAACTTACATAGCTGGTATCTGAACAAAATGTTATGAGCACTGATACTGTGGGTTTGTACAGCAAGATAGAAAAAAAAGTTTAACAGTGATTAGGGCAAGCCATTATAAAGACCTCAGAAACTATCTGATAGGAGCTGATACGTTGTATAAAGAATGTTCTGGATCAAATTTTTTTTACCCTCTAAAAGAAGGTTGGGAGAGATAAGTTTAAAAACCAAATATTCAAGGGGTGAACAGGTAGATATGTTAAATGTGTCTTTGTCTGGTTGAGGAGAGTTTTGAAGTTAGGAGTCTTCATCAATCTGTGGCATGTAAACTCTTTAAATTTAGGGCTTTGCCACTTTTGTACCATGCATCCAATTTTTGAACATGTATGTTGCTGCTCATCTTCAGCAAATGTAATGATTTAGTTATTGAACAGATGGCCTATTGAACAGCCCTGTTGGAAAAAAAAAAAGCTGTCATATGTGGACACACTGTATAAATCCCATGCACCTTTTTCTTCCTTTGGCACATTCTTTCTTTGACTATTTGAGCTGATGTAACGAGTACGTTTCTCCACTGTGAGATCAATAAAGTCAATCAATCAATCGAAGTCCATCTACTATTTCGGTCCCAACATCATCCTGTTAACACAATGTCCTGTGATTAACGTAGCATAAGAGCACCTAGTGTTGCGTCTGAGGGAGCAATACGTCCCATTCTGCTGTATCACATGTCTAATGCAGCTCAAGTTAATCTGAGGCAGATGCATTTCGATCGCTGGTACTAGTTCAATGGATTACGATTCTTTTTCTAATATGATCCCTGCGAGTAATCCAAGATGGACATATTTTATGTACATATAACAAAATGCAAGACAGTGACAACAGTGACAACCCTGAAAACTACAACTATAAAAGAACAAATACATCATAAACTAAACAAAAATATATGGCATCGTGGGCAAATATTAAAGCAAAATCTTGAGGAAATTATCCAGCTGAATATTTACTCTGGACATGCTGCAAAATAAGTGGCTTCAGAAAGACAAAATCAATGTTTTGGTATAGCCATTTGAAAACCTTGATCTTAATTGCACAGAAATTAAGGACGGTGCAGAAATAATTAACCAGTTAAACTGGTTCACTCTGGAAGAATGGATCAAAATTCTAGCAAAATATTATAAGAAGGATAGAATAACACAGACTCAAGTAGAAGACAATTCTACCATGCTCTAAGAAAATGAGCAAAAAGAAAGATCTCCCAAAAATTCTCACTTATTCAGGCATTTAATGAATGGGAATCATTTACACAGTCCCGAATAACCCAATAATATTTTACACTTAGTCAAATAGAAATGTTAGATAATAAGTTAAATTAATTTCAGACAGTTTAAAGAATTTCCCTGTGGGCTGGTAGATGATATAGTCAATGTTTTCAATTAATGTACACATAAGGAGGTATAACAAAACCATTTTTTGTTGAAGTACAATAAGCTAGAACATCATAATAGATATTTATTGATTGCTCCAATTGTTCCTTAGGCAAACCACACTGCTGTTGTTTTCTCATTAAGTGCAGGGTGTGTTCTGGCCTACTGAAAAATGATACCAATAAATTCTCTCTGCACTCAGCTCTCAGGCCACGTCTAGGTTATTGCCTGATTTAATGAGTATATGAGGGAAAACAGCCATTTCTAACAGAGAGGTCAGCCTAGGAGGTGAGCAACAAAAAATGAACCCACTTTCTCAAATCATTTTACCACAGGGACGTCCACGAAAAGACAAACCACTTATTTCAGCTCTATTTTTCCTTGATAATGGTGACGTTTTGCATAAATCTTGCAGATTCTGATTGCAAAAAATATTCCTCTAAGATAAGAACTGAATTTCTATCAGAGAATTTTCCTGCTTGTCAAAAATCATGTGGAAAGAAACTTTTAAGATTTGTATGGGTTCAACATTACCTTAGCCTTAGAGAAAAAGGAGACCAACTGTGTTAAAAGTATCAAAAAAAATGTAAATACATAGTTAAAAGATGCATTTTTCTTTTTTGTAGTGTAATCGGCTGGACCATGGCCTCGGCTGAACACATCAGGATCTTGAAGCAACATTATTACCTCAAAGAGATAGCTAGTGATTATTGAAAGAAGGTTATACTAGAAGGTTATATGAAGTTAATATCTTACCAGAAGTAGATAATTCACTTGGTGTGTTCATTGAGCACTGTTGGTCCGGCTGAAACTGAAGCTAACAACAACTATAAGAGGGGCCAAGACTTCTAACATTTGGCAGTAAATGAAAACAGTATTTTCAGGAGTTTTTAGCAGATATTTTTTTCTGAATTGGCCGTCTATTCGAACAAAAGACAACTAATAGGACAAGATATACCAACAGTGATCTTCCTGGACTGGGACTGAAACATTTAAAGTCTCTCCAGAGATGTTAAAAGGTAAAGAACTTAAGAAATGACCATTTAACTAAACCTCCACATCATTCTACCTTCATACACAGCAGTATTCTTCCATAAGATGAGGAATGCTTTCTAAGTTTTGCTAATGTTTTGATCTTCTTGTTTCGTATAAAATTATTGGCCGTGCACTGCCTCTTACCGCCAGTGTCCATGTCAATAATTACTTGCTCCTTTGTAACCACCCAACGAAAAAGTGACGATTGATTAAAGGTTCACAAAATAGGGTCTTCAAAAGCTGATTATTCATATATGTTTTTTAAATTGGTCTTGGTCCTTCTCGGTTGAGCCATTAACTTTGACCACAGGGAACAACTCAATCTTAACTTATACTATAGATAAGGAGAAACATCAACTGCAGATTACTTCACAAATTCTGAACTGTCTGAACTTTATGGCATTAATATTTATCTTATCAGTTTTTAGTTGAAGTTTCATATCCAACAGACAATCTTGACAATCAGTCCATTCAAACTAGCAGTTTACTTCTGGTATCAAATAGGACCTTTCTGATTTTAGTTTCCATTTACTTCCTTATTAGCATGTATTTTAGCTAATTGGATTAGACTATAAAGGAAACCAAATCCACTCTCCTTTTCCATATCTGTGTTTCATCATTACCACCCTTGCTCACCTTTTAAACTCTACCTATGCAGGAACAGGCAGTGCTGCATAACCCTTTACAATCTTTATCCTCTTACGCCAGGCTGCTGCCCTCAGTGATTCACACCATGTGGTTCACACTCAATGGTTCACCGCGAGGCCAGCAGGTGAAATATGTAACCACCACTCTGTTAAGAACTTCTCACAGATCAGTATGAATGATCTTGTATGCTTATGTTTATATCTAACTAAGTAATAAATGTTATATTTTTCAGTGTTCCAGATTATAATATCATCTACAATTTAATAGATCTATAATTTTACAGCCATAAGGCTAGTAAGGAAATCGGGATGCTGGTTAGACATCTTGAAAAGTTGAATATAGTCCTAAAAGAAAACCTATTGGCTGCTCAAAATGACTGAATATTGATTAGTAGGGTCAACTTCCAGGAGGTCAGTGATAATAAATATACAAGCCCTGATCTACTAAAAGATTGTGTGTGTATAAACACATGCAAAGTTGATAGCACACACAAAGCTAACCTATTAGATGGGTGCAGCCAGAATTGTGTCTGTGACTATTCTCAGAATAGTAGATGTGATCAATTTTTACATGTTCGGGTTCATGAATTAACAGAACATATGCTGAACATCAGAACATGTAAAATACTGGGAGAAGGGATTTGCATATTGTTAAAACTCACCACTTAGAATATAATTTTTATCTAACCTGAAACAGATTTCGCTTTTTTGTCTATATTTAGCACGTTTGGATGACAGGTGCAAATACTCACATGTCTGCAGCCACTGTGGCAAGAGGAGAGATAGGCGAAATCATAGATAACGGAGAGAGGGATTATACCATAAATGTGTCAATATATTATGGCGGATATATATTGTTTATCGAGCAATGATCTTTTATGAGAAAAACTCCTTGCAACACTGCATTTCTTGCATGTGGATGAATTATTTCAGCACACCTTCAAAGTTAGTTGTATCTCCCAAAGTAGATTTTCCGATGTGCTGTCAAGTGGGCCAGTTTCACTTCAAAACTGGGTGTTGCTCAGCCTTAACCCTATCACTACATATGTTTAATTCCAATCATTGATTAACTGGAAAAGTAGTTTTGAACAAGTTTGTGTTTTGAAAATGGGAACATTTTTGAAATGACCTGCAGCGCTCATGAACATGAAGGTTCCCTTTTTTTCTGTTTTGTTATTGGTAAAATGTATTACCATATAGGAAAATAAGTGGCTTCTCTCTGTTGATTTTTTATGGTTTGTCTTCACACAGCAAATGGAAAGAAAATGCACAATCTGCAGCAGCTCCTTTAACCTGGCTTTCTTGTTTGTACAGTTATTTAATAGGAACAATGTTTCAAGTAAGGCAAAATATAATCAAAGTATGTCTCCTGTTTTGCCATATGCATTGTTGAACCATTTATTTGTAAATCTTTGACACTATCAATATCATACATCCATACTTCCAAATTATAATTATACAGTACTTTGTGTTGATTCGTTATATAAAATTCCTTTAAGAAACATTCAACTTTGCAGCTGTAAAGTAGCAAAAAGCATAAAAGTTGTATGAATACAACTTTAAATCAATGTATTAATTTATATTTGTTGTCATTGTAAGTGCTGGAAACAGATACCTAAGGTTTTTTTTTTAAGAAACAAAGAGTTGCTGTAACTTCAATTATATTGTTACTCTGAAATCTACCTAATTTGTCATTCATGTAGAGTTGTAAGCAGTTCCCATTAAGAATCTCTATTTCTCAATGACAAACATGTACATACATGCACCAGTTAGTCTCAATAAGCCCATGCCAGAAAGGAATGACTATGTGTGCATTCCTAAGCCTTTTTCCATCTGTATGCAGCTCCAAACATGCATGTACACTGTTATTTTATTAGAACCTGCACAGCTCTTGCTTTTAAACTTTTCAAAAATGCTTGCTTGTGGCTGTGCCACAACCAAAGCAGAGGAAAGTTTATCTTTTAGTTAACAAAAAAGTGGATTGTTCCATTTTAAAGTCTCAGATTAAAGATTTTTTTCTTTACTTTTTACTATCCTATATTTAGTCTATTTAGACTAGACATGCTTTGTCTTTTTTAAGAGCATGTAAATAATATTTTAGAAATACTGAAAATACAAAACATGGCCGCTCTCTAACTGGCTCACAACTATTGATGCTTCATGAGATAATGAAGCCTTTCTATATAGCATCAGCAAATGTCAATAAACCAGAGCAAAATAAATATTATAACAGACCTAGGAATTTATATTATACACATTCCAAAGGATAAAGGACATAACTAAAATTCTGTCAAAAGACCATAAAAAAGAAAAAATTTCAATAAACTTCATAAAAAATAGCAAAAAGACCAGATGCTTCTATTAAAATCATGATGACTAAAAATATAATAAGTAGGAGGCTACACAACCTGTGATACATAATGCTAAATCTATTATTTTTATTACTAACAATAACCATTTCCTCTTTTGAAAATGTTTCGAAAACAAAAAACTAACCAAAATCTCATGCTGTGTTTTCCTTAATAAACTATTCATATAGAGAAAAATTGGAACAGGACAAATCCAGAGCATTGACTGCTACCAGGTGGAAAACCTGAGTCTTTACATATCCATCTCCATATTCACAGCCCATAGAAAAAGTAACACTATATTAGACAGGGGCATATGCCGACTGCTACTTGATAAACACTGATTTTACTTTGATGTGGTGTATTAACATCACAACATTTAGAGGGTCTTACTTTTCTTTGCGATAGTACAAGGCATAGGTGGTTGGCAGCCCTCCATCAGAGCCTGGCTCCCACCAGCAGGTGAAAGTCTCTTTTTCGGGAGAGCGACAAATTATATTTTTAGGTGTCCCAGGTGGGCTGAAACCTAAAAACAAAATAAAAAAAAGTAAAAAAAAAATGTTCCAGAAAAAGAATTACCATAATTTCAATTGTAACCAAGTATTTATGGTTATTAATTATTATTAATTTCGATCCTATGCTATATTGATATATGTATATATATCCTATTGGCCAGCTAATATTCACTCATTTCTTGGATGTCTTCACTCCTCAGCAGAAAACACTAAAAGTTTAAGTCTGCATGAAGACAAATACCTGCCTTGATTTTAAAGACCCCAAAAAAGGGGGGGGGGGAATCATTAATGATGTATGGAAACATTTTTCAAGATCTTTTTATCCAATTATTCGCTTTCCTTTTTATCATTCCTGCTCTTTCCTTTATTATAACCGCAACATAAAATTCCTCAAAATGCACATAATAATATTTTTATACTAAAGAAAACATTTGAAACTTAAAGAGTATTTACATTAAACTTCATGATTTAAAGAGTTTCTGGTACATTTTATCTGCCTGGAAAACAACATGAGTCAGTAAACTAGACCTGCTGTCATCCAGACTGAAGAACAGAGGTGGGTAGAGCACTACTTTAAAATTGTTTTACTCAAGTAAAAGTAAAAAAGTATTCAATAGAAAGGCTACTTGAGTACTGAGTAACTTTTGGATAATAACATCAGATTTAATGTTTATAAATGACACTGGTAAATAGATTGTGTGCAAGATCTGGCATTTTAAAAACTAAAATGCCTAAAAAATACATATAAATCTTATTAATATAAAAGAAATAAATATGCAGAAGAAATACTTTGTAAAAGTATGACATGGCAACAAACTTCCACTGTTAATATCTACTGTTTACCTGATTTAGAATAGTTCATATTACTCACATAGGACAGTAGTCAGAGACGTTGGAGTAGTGATACTTTAAAAGACTATTACTCAAGTAAAAGTAAGAAGTACGGCACAGTAAACCTACTCATAAAAGTACAGTTTTGTTTACTCAAGTAAATTTAACTGAGTAAATGTAAATAATTTCTACCCACCGCTGCTAAAGAAGCATACAAGCATACTACCAAAATAAAATAAAACAGATTTCTGTACAAATTACATTACATTTAAATATTTCCCCTTTTTGTCAAGAGCTTTATGTTTTCTCTCTATGTCCTTTCTCCAAAAAGCTGCTTCTTGGTTGGTGTTTTGTGTTTATCTCTGCTGCTTTGCTAGGATGGGCATAACTTAATGTTATCCATCTAGAAATGGTATATCTGGTACTATAGTTCTGACAAAAAGACAGACGGAAAGACATGTTTTAACAATTAAAAAAGATTATGAAAGTTTAGTATAGTCTTGTTTTTTTTTAAATAACATCCAGTGTTTTTCCCTACGAAGTAAAAAAAATAGATAATCGGAATTCTTTTTTCACCAGACTTTTCCAAACTCCATATATTTAAAGTAGAAAGATGATCAACACTTAGGCGCTATTAATGTGTCTGCTCTGTCCTCTCAGGACATTCTGTCAAAAGATTCCTCTATTGGTTATTTTCTACCTCAAAATAAGAAATTGTTGCAAACTTAACAATTTCCAACAAGACAACCAACTTTTAAAACTTTCACACTTACATTATTTCAAGGATCAAACTGAAAAGGAAGTAAATTAATTTGAATCTCTTTTTGAAATCGGGTTGCATTGGATTGATTTAAATATTTATTTTTTTAGAAAAATTTGTCATCCTGTAAAGTGCCTTAAAGGCTAAACATTTTGTTGTTTAAAAAAGATGAACAGAATAAATCTGATAAAGAAGACAAAAAGAACAGTGTTATAAACACTAAAGTTAACAAATGAACAGAATGAAAACATGAAGGCGTTACATTTAGATTAACAGGTGCAAATCAGCTCGAACTAACTGCTCTATTAGAGTCATTATTTCCTCCCACATGGAGGTGCATAGGAGCAGCTGAACATGGATTCATTACAAGTTGGAAAATTGATTTAACTAACAGACTTTGAGAATAAACGAAACAAAAACAAAGCATATTAATATTGTTGTTAAAATGCCTCCTAAACTGAGGGAAATGCAGTTTAAAACAGGTCAGAATTGGTTCACATTCTTCACAGATTAAAATGGTCATTAACAACGACTAAAAACAATGGATCTATAAGCGGTCCCTAATTTGATTAGAATGTGAAATTAATGCAAAACCAAGTGCAAACTTACTCTCTCCTGCTGCAAGCTGGACAAATACTAGCAGCAAGCTCAGCACAATAACTCCCCCAACGTTCCTCATCATGGCAACACAAAGTCTCTGCTGTCGGTTGGAGCTGAGGAAACACAAACAAAGACAGGTGAGCGTGTCAGACTGGCTTATCCAGGAACTTGACCAATCAATTGACCCATTACCCATGATGGTAAGAGAGAAAGTAAAAACCGTTTGCAACAAACACTCAAGTTCTGACTAAGAGCACAGCGATGCACACAAGGATAATATTAATACCATGCATACACATCTGGGACAGATAAATACTATTGCAGAAGACTTGCTATTAGAGAACAAAAAAAACCATAAAATATTGTATACTTTACAAACAAGGTCAAATGTTTACTCTTAAAACATTTGTGCAGTGATTTAGAGCAGTCTAGCCATCCTACCGAGTATTTAAGAGATAGAAAGTGAAAAAAAAGCCTTCCAAGGCAAATGGATGTTTTTTGAAGGATTAAAAAAACTAAATAGACACATTCTCTCAATGACTGTCTGACTACCTCTACCAGCTGGCACATGCAGCGTAACTGATTGCATAACCTGAGTTAGTGTTAGAGCTCCATGACAGCAGGAGGCTGGACGCTATTGCTTGTGATAGTCTAAATAGGATTCCCCGTTTGCCAAGCTATGATCGGATGCCTTTATTGTTAATCTCTGTTTGAAAGCTTTTCTTTCTAAAGTGATATATAAAATGAAATGTGACAGAAGACCAAAGAAACAGCAGACACATAGAAAAATGGACCAAATAACACCCTCATCTGCTGTTCCCTAAAACAAGGATTTAATGCTGAGACCCCTCTGTGAAGCGCCTCCTGTGTAAAACACACAGACCTTATGATGCAAATGAACTTTTCTATGAGTGCTATGGATTTTTATGCAAACACATGTAAAACAAAACTGCCTTGTTCTTATAAATCCCCCTCCTTTTAACTTCTACAGGGCATAGTAAAAATGACTGTTTCTCATCTTCAATGAAAAACGTATTTATTACTAAATAAATAATAAAACATTAATTTGTATGTAAAGAAATATCACTTTTTGTTTGTCTGCTACTTTTTCTACCTGTCTCCACAGTCAACCTGTTGGTCACTGGGATTTTGCTGTTTTTCTGGTGTGAGCTTCCTGTTACAGAGAAGATCTTTGTTGGTGGCTGAGCTGACCGGTTTTGCTGCACACCTGAGAACATTTCTCAATCAAGATGACTAGCACGAATATAAGGAGGCAAGGATCATCTCTCTTTGCCTTATGATAACCCCCTGAAGTATTTCAGCCAAAACCAGGAACAGCTTGTTGAATTTTGTCTTCTTGTGAATCTCATTAAATCAGAGTCTGTTATTGTTCAATACAACAGGTACATCTCAGTTTGTCTCTTATCTTCATGGAAAAGGTCTGAAATGTGTGGAGCAGCTCTCAGTCTTCATCACCTACCTACCAGCTCTTAAGCATGACGTCTTTTTCAAGTACCGACCCTCTCAGATCTCACTCACGTTCTCCTGGATCTCTGGGGTTCAGTCTGCAAAGCCCACTGAATCAAACCCCTACAGATCCATGCTACCTCCCCTTCATCTCTCAACTAAGAAAATCAATCAGTCCTTAGTTGTCATCAACCAACTCCTTCCTGATCAGTCTGCTTTCTCCGCTCAGACCAACCAGGAAGTTTAACTGGCTTCCTGCAGTTCTCCGCTTCCAGATTCTTGTTGCTATCACCATGATCAGTTAAAAACCCTCTGATTAACAGATGGAGCAATTTATAGAAATGTTCTAGGACCTGCTTAACAGAACCACTACCACAGGGTCTACTCCCTCTACAGCCAACTGCAACTGCTCCCGCAACTTCTCATTTTCTTTGCCAAATCCCCACACCCGGGCCTTCTGCAGGTGAAATTGGAAGATTTCATGGGTTGCTGTTACGTTGTTTACTGGTTTTCAGTCGGTCTTTTTTGTTTGATAAGGATATAATCTCCTTTGTGAGCCCTGCAGTGAGCTGACGCAAGATTTGGGGGTGAGTTTCAATTCCAAATTTCAGCCAGTATCAGACTTTGCCACTGAGTTTTGAACTCTAATGGCCTCTTTAGCCTTGAACCCTGAACCGTTAAAGGGAGCTTTTCTTCAAGCCTTGGATGAAAGAATTAAGGATGAACTAGCGAGCAGAGAGGAGTCTAAAACTCAAGAGGAACTAATATTCCTGACTGTAAGCATTAACAATTGATTTGCAGAAAGAACCTGGGCAAAACAATGGAATAATTTACCTCATTTCTAATCTCATCTTCCAGATCGTTCACATATTTCCAACTCTTCCTGGCCAGATCTGGAGGAACCGATGCAGTTTGGTGGTACGCGGTTTTCACCTGAGGAACAACGACGTTGGATGAAAATTTAACTCTTCCTGTATTGCTTTCTCCAATTGACTCCTCTGTATGACGGGCAGGACATTGCAATTAAAGTTTGGCTATCAACTTATGACATTAACCTAAAGGCTTCCAATCAGAAAACTCTCTCCCAGATTCATAATTCCATTTGAAATCCAGGCAGTGCTCAATTGCACTGTCGGTTTGCCTAAAGCTGGCGGATCATAGAAACATTCATCCTGTTTTTTTACGTCTCTTATTAAGCCTGTTTAGTCCTCTTTTCTACCTTCAGACCAACAACCAAGTTGAACTCACTCACTGTACTTCTCCATTTCCATTCCTGTTGCTTTTGTAAACGAACCATTAAAATTAACTGGCTCTCTGTAAGATTCTGCATGTGGTAAAAAAAAAAAAAAAAATCTACAAACCAACATGACACAACCTGCATGACAGAACATGTTCCTTTAATGCTATTCCATACGGCGAAACCCAGCTAATTATCAGGTTGAAAACATAAAGGTGTAACATCTAACTTAGGAGTGGCTGTTGCTTTCACAACTATGCCATTGCAGCATTGTATGCAGGTTGGAGCACATGGATACCTTAGCTTGGTCTGCTTAGACGATTGGGATGAAATATTTTCTTACCAACTCTGCTGTTAACTTCTTTACAAATGTATCTCTAACTTGTTTACTCTTTAGGGAGGTTTAAAGCTGCTCCAAACTCATTTTGGAAGATGAATAATTATTTTTTTCAAAAAGAAAGGGGGAGGAAAACTGCAATTACATTTAAATTTAGTTATGAAATAAACTGGATATATTCCTCCCATTTTACAAATATGGACTACTTTGTGTTGGCATAGGATATTGATATTTTTTAAAATACATTCAGGTTTCTGGTCATAATGTGATAAAATGAAGCAAAATTTTTGAGCTATGGTAGTGCATAAAGGTTGCTACGTGCTTTTGCTTTGTTTGTTTCATTTTATTGCTGCATAAAAAATATCCCTATCTATCACAAAATGTTATTAGAGTTGGGTTTTCTACGAAAGGCCTTTCATTTCCACCTGCAATATAAACGTCGTACAGGGAAATACTGTGAAATGGGTGATTAGACATGCTCTGACCCATCTGACCCATGCTAGCAACTCTCTGGTTGCAGTTCACAGCACAGTAAGAGCCTCCAGCTAAATTCCTCCTGATTCATATGTTGCAATGCTGCTCAGGGGTGTGGCTGCCTGGGCATGTGTCGTCAAATAGCATCTGCGATAACATTAGCTTAAGTCTGACTTGTGTAATAGCCGAAGATGTGTCTGAAAAGGTGTTTGAAATCTTTCTATTTATACATTCATGCTGGAGACACCTTGTTTCCATGCTGCCACACTGTAAGAACCTTAGGACACAAACCATATCCAGCTCATCTTTATGGTGCCTTAATTTTAGTAACGTCACCATGATCTGATAATTGGCATTAAGATCAAGGCGCAGGATTAGCCTCCTGCTACATATAGCCGTCTTATGTAACCAGTAGCCGAGACTGCGGGCCTTAAGCTGTTGGCCATGGCAGCAATGTTGTTGTTTGTTTTTTTTTACTGAATATAAGGAAGGGACATAATTATAATGACGTTGCAATCAGACAAACAGTAACTTGGGAAAAATCAAAATACAGTTTTCAAAATATGTTACTTTTATTTTGAAGAAATATTAAATTTTTAAGGGGGGAAAAAAAGTGATCCAAACCACCAGGGACATATCTCAATTGTATCTTGGATTCAAATGGATGCAAACCTTTCTAAAAGTTATATTAAAGTCTTTTTTTCCAGTCTTGGGGATTATTCAGGTGTTTTCTGGAAAATGCAGCTTTGACCTTTGTGTTCTGTTTGGCCAGGCATGCTTTTCACTATGGAACTAACCGATGGACGCCATTTTTCTCAGTTTGTTTCTTGAGACAATTGAGGCCAGCAGTGTGCAAGATGTCGGTCAGGTTTATTCTGTGATCTGCTGGTTGAGTCACTGATGCCTTTTTGGAGGAACTTTGGTCAGGTGGCTGCTTAAAAAAATTCATCATTGCTTCATGTTTTCTCCATTTGTGAATAAAGGCTCATTGTGGCTAATCTTTATGTTCCTGTTGTTGAATTTCCTTATTTCAGAGCGTGACATGCCTCTTTTTTTATATATATATTTTAGCCTATCTTTAGATATTAACATCTATTTGATGGAGAAAAAAATGAAAAAAAGAGCAAATAATTTTTTTCACAGGACCATCTGAATGCCATTCAATCGTCATTAGATATTTTATTTTTTGGGTCTTTAAATAGTTCTGGATTTCAGCCTTTCGGTTCCTGACTTGAAACACCTTTAATTTTTCTTTTTAAAGGGATTTAATTCGCTTCCACTTACTTTCCTTCAGCTTATTTGCATTAAATTGCATCCTGAAATGCCTCATCTCTGCGGAGACCAACCATAGCACACATGAGGAAGCCATATCCAGGCAACAGCATGCGCAACATTCAACCTAGGTTTACTTGATGTAATATGCAAGTGCACTTTCACATATGTCTCCATAGCATAAGAATGGACTGACGCTACAAAATAACTGAATGGTATGTGTGAATGCTGTTTAAAGTAATAGTAACGTGTTTTGTTCTTCTGCTTCTTTCTACCTGATAAATAGGTATGTCTGGGCTTTGAATTGTGCAGAAAAAAGTCAAATCAATTATCACATATGCGTTAATTGTTTTACCAAAAAGAGCACTGCAAGTATAAGACAAAACAAAGAAGGCAGATTTCAGATGAATTGTTAATGAGCTGTGTCCTTCTCTGGTCTCTCAATTTCAGAAGGTGAGAAGAGGATGTATTAAATGGCGTGCTGAGGGCAACTGTGAGCAGGGGGGGGTGTCGCCTGGCGGCACACGGCGACACCTCTCTGTGTCACCGAACACCTTTGCACAGATGACGCGTGCGTAAAGTTTCTCTCTCATGAATAGTCAAAGCATTCTCAGGAGGGTAGACCGACAGCAGAGTTTAAAGCATTCCTGTTTCCCAGAACTTGTTTGTTTTCCCCCAAAGGTTATAAGAACAACCAGAGGAGAGCACAATATATCTTGAATGATTTACGGTGCATTTGTGGATTTTAGTTTTTTATTAACTTAAGTTTAGTGTTGTTTGAAAAAAAAACTAATGAGACTATTTGTGTTCTTGGTAAGCTAATACTTTCTGTAACGCTGAAAAGAAAAAAACAAACTCTCAATTTCCAGGTAGTTGATAGAGTATTTACAAACATAAACCGTAAAGATTATGTTGTTCAACAGGTTTGGCGTGACTCAAATACGATTCGTTATGTCAACAGTCCCTTAACTGTTTAACCCTTTATGAGTGAATTTATGGTACAATATGTTTTGTGATTCTGGATGCCAAGATCATGCAGGCAGTTTGGCAGAAGGAATAACAGATACCAGAAATGTCTGAAACTTCTCCTGTATCATAAGCTTGACCTGAGAGCCTGCTCAGACTGGAACGAACTTAACACTTCCAGGTATTGTAAAAAAACCGGTTTTGAGCAACAGCACAAACAGATTTCTAGGAACTATGTTTTCCTCCCTCATATAGGTAGCCTGGGTGAGGGAGCAGAAAAACACAAAGCCGAAAGGTTTAAAAGGCTTTCAGGAACACTGAAATGGTACCAACCCATGAGCCATTGTATATTCTGAATAAAGTGAAAATTCTGGGAAACGTTTAATCTGTATCAGGGTGGTTATTCTATATCAACCTAACAGACCGTATGGTATGTTGCGGAATTTTTTTTTATTTTTTTATTTTTTAATAACATGTATATTTAAGTTCAAAATACATCTAATTAAGCAGAGAAATACTAAAATATGCCAGAAAACTAAAGATACACTGATTCCCTTTACACTGATACTTTTAAACAGGAGTTTGAGAAATTGAAACGTGCATCGTAACACGCGGAAGTTCATCTATTTATAGGTAAAAGAATAATAGCCGTTCTTAGGTTGGATTCAGTTAAAAATTATGTTTGTGTTTGGGCATCGGGTGAGAAATAATTAAGGAGGCAAGTTTAAAGGTAGAAAAAGTTTGAATATTTGCAGAATAAAACACATATGTGCTTCAGGGAAGAGCCTTTCACAAAAACACAAGCACAACTTGAAAGTAAAGATATGCAAAAATGTGGGGGTCAAGAGAACTGCTTAGAAAATTTTTAAAAAGAACTGCAGGATTTTCTATCTTAGCTCTGCATTTTAATGCCTGCAAAATTTCCCTTCTTGCCCAACGTATCCTACGTCTGGCAGATTGAACATGCTAAATCACCTTCAAGGACAGCAAACACACCCTTCCCTTGTTGAAGCCCTAATGATCCCACTTATCTTAAGTCACATGAAATCAAAACACCCGTTACAAGATAAAAGCACCGGCTTAATTTATGAGCCATTTCTCCCACTCTGGCAACTTTGTTGGAGAAAGCAATATTAGTTCAGCTGCCTTCGGACGCTTAAGCCCAATGTTTGAGTTCATTTATCTGCCAGAGAAGCATGCACATGAAAACAAATCTACATAATTGTCAAATATGGATCTGATAAAGGTGACTCTTTTGGGAAGTTTTAGTGTGGCTTAGACTGCACGCCACTCTTTACATTGAAGGAATCTTTACTTGAAGGTTTATTTACAGCCAGGGATGCAATACATGTTATATCAAAGAGGATGAGTCTGTAATTACTTTTCAGAAGCAATATTTAAGACTCATCAGAACTTAGTTGGGAACCAATTTAAGCTCTAATAATGAAGAAGGTATTTGCTGGGTCCTTTAAATAAATAAAACCCCTAACATTTCAATACTTTAAATAGTTTAAAGCTTTTTAAATGGTTTATTCAGGTCTTGGATATTAGCTGCGAGGCTGAAGTTAATTAAAGGCTTGTGTCGGACTTAACGGAAAGAGTAGTAAACTGCCAGGTAAATAACAGAGTAATCCAGTATTGAGATGATCAGCCTAGTGCTATAAAGGGGGGAAACTTCTTCCACTCTTTCCTAACCTGACATAGGTCGGTACAGAATGAAGAGGAGAATAACCCCGGTAAACTCTACTGCAACCCTGCATCTCCATCTATATATATATATATATATTTTTTTTATTAACATTTTATTGAGTGCATTTTCAAAAATGATATACATCCATCACATCCATTTCCTAAGTAGACCTTACATAGCCAAATTAAATTCACAACAGTCCATGCTTGAGCTAAGTGACAATTATACTTTTTGTAATTTTAACATTTTATCCTAACTCACATTCCTTCATGGGAAAAAGAAAAAATCCCATCACCTCCTCTTTATTTATGGATATAAGTACACTTTTTCTTTCTTTAACAAAAACAAAAAAAGAAAGAAAGAGAAAGAAAGAAAGAAAAAACACCCAATGAAAAGAGACCAAAACTATAGAAGAACACTCTAAATGTTCTCAACCCCAATTTTGTCAGATGACAAACTCTGATCTCAGTTTTCCCAATGTGTCTTAAACTTGCCAGATTTTGATCTAAAAGTAAAAGTTAGCCTTTCCATTCTATAAATATTATGCATTACTTCAACCCAACCTTCCCTTGTTGGAGGATCTGTTTTCAGCCAATTCCTAGTTCTAGCTTTCTTACTGTCTCCAAACATGATCCTGATAATAAATGTATTATCCTCTGAGGTTGTCCGATTATCAATCCCTCTTCCCGTGTATAAAGTGTTCCATTCTAAATATTTCATACAAATTTAAAATAAAAGTATGGGAATAAAATGAAATTTACCGGCAGCTGAGTCTTCCTGTTTTTCTTGGACAGCTGGGGAGGTGCGCACACGCTCGGCTGGACCGTGGGAAACTGGTTAGACGGCAGTCCGGTAAGTGAAGGACGCGCGACTGGCACCGTCCCCGCGCCCTGATGATCCAGAGGAGGGCGGGTTGGTACCAAGGAGGAGCTCAGCCTCCACGCAGCGCTGCGCAGCGCAGCGCAGGACCCGCCCACGGGTTCCTCCTCAGAGAGCTCAGGGACTCAGTAGAAATAGCCATTAGAGTATTTTCAAACTTTATCATTAAGGATATTACTATGTAATTACATAATTATACTATCTCCATCTTTAAAATTTTCCTGATATCAGAGTGAATTTTTCCCATTTGCGCTAAAATTACAGAATTTCTTTCTATGATTAATGCAAGAAAAACAACAAGGACCAGACAAGCAGGGGCGGAGCTAGATGGGGGGCCAGGGGTGGCCATGGCCACCCTTTGTTACGTTCTTGGTTCCTTTTCTGTTTTACTTTGCTTCATGTTTTCTAGTTTTATTGGTTTAATTCCTATTTTGTTGTATTTTCTGGATATATTTGAGTTCTAAGGTTTTTATTTGTTGCCCTCTTGTGTTGGTCTCCTTTTCTCTAGCTCCTTTCTAGACTCCCCTTAGCAAAAAGTAGTATACTTGAAGTAGAACTAGAAAGTATACCGAACAATGTACTTTTAGAGTACTTGAAGTATTACTTTAGTAATACTTCTTCCAACTAAATTTGGACATTTTAAGTTTACTAAAGTAAACGTAAAGTATACTTTAGTAAACAATAAAGTAAACAATAGTATAGTCAAGTACACTTGACTATTGTTAAGTGTACTTGACTATAGTTTAGAATAAGAAAAATCTAAGTGCACTGCCTGATTTTAAGTATGAAATTAGTGCACCTTTATTATACTTGAATAAACTACTTTTTGCTGAGGGTCCTCTTTTCACACCTGCTCCCAATCTGCTTGTTAGTCCTCTCTTTGTTCAGTCTACTATAAATACTGCAGTTCCTCAGTGCTGGTTCCTCGTCTTACTTCATCTTATCTCGTCTTTTGCCATCTTTACCTGGCTCCTTGTGGTTGTTTTCCCCTGATGTCTCTATGGTTCTGGTTTGTTTTACATTTTTCATGTTGGATTTTTGGATTCTTGCCTCTGTTACCTGTGTTTATTCATAAAATCTTCAAGAAACTCACCTTTGCCTCCCTGCCTCTGCATTTGGGTCCTCTAACCTCAACCAAACCTTGACACCCTTAGCCAATCATTGGCCACCCCTACCATTTTTTCCCCCTCTAATGCAGATGGTGGCAGCACTAATACTCTCAAAGTGGAATATTCAAAACATTCTAATTTTTGTGGTTAATTATACACAGCAATATCAATTAAGATAAGTACAGAATTCATGCTCTTTTCAGAACTAGATGTTGTGTTATATGGGGTAAAGAGAAAATTATGTGTATCTGCAAGTCATCTAGGAGTCTTCAGTGAAATCAAAGATAATTTTAATAACAACTTATCATATAATCAATTTATGTAGATATTAGTGCTTGTAAATATCAATTTTATGCAGAATGTTTATTGATACAAGTAGGTCAGTGATGACAATGGAAAAGATTTACGCCCCATATCTCAATACCGAAGAGCTTTATACACTATACCTTTTATCTAGAAATTATGGATGTTTAAATATATGCATCAATTTGTTAGCAAAGGCTGTAGGAAAGTATGGTTTGTCTTTATTTAGAAAATATGGATGTTTTGCTCATTAATTTTCCTGTTGGAACAGTGTAGATTGAGCATGAGGTTCTGGCGCCTATTCACTTTCGGCCACTCCTCAGTGTACACTGATTATTGCCTGGACACCCTTATAAAAATGTTTTGGCTACGCCTCTGCAAACAAATAAAATAACCGGTATAAACTGTAAAATATTGATGCCATGATATTTGTAACAGTCACAACATTTAAGAAGGCACACGTTTCAGATGTGTGGCATCATTGGGGAAATTAAAATGAATCCACCAAGACATCAGGTAGAGAACTGCAGCTTTCAAAAAGTTTGATACATTATTGGGAGTCATGAGCTGTTTTACACAGGGGCCAAAAGGAGCCAGTGCCCTTTAAGAGTCCCTTTACAGAAAGCATGCACAAAGAACTTGAAATATTAGTAATTTTTCCAAGAAAATCTGCATTTATAAATCCTTATATCTTATAATAACAAAGGCAATAATAAGTGATGATCTTATATTAAAGACAAAAATAGTAATTCCATTAACAGATCATCTTATTTACCTGCTCATTTTAAGGAAAGATACACTTATTTTCACAAATGTTGACATTTTGGATCCGTTTTTGCAGCGTACCACAAAATGAATTTCTCATTATGACATGCGCTGACAGAAGGAACAGCACTAGAAAAAATAACCACCTTACCAAGTCTAACAATCTTAGATTCAGCCAAAAAGTCTTTTTGATCTTGGTTTGAGACTAAGATCTTTCTTGTTTTGAGAATATATATCAAGATGTCAAGAAGTCTTACAATGTGATTTTGTCTTACTGCTTTGGTGGATTATTGCAACTATTTTAAGTAGAATCGTCTCACATGATGATTAACAGGATAGCATATTAATCTCCAAACAAGATTGTAAGACTTTGCTAAATGGAAAATTTTGCAGTGTAATTAATCCTCTATACCAATTTAATTTAACAATTATTTGCAACTTACAATCACCTTTAATCTTCAGTCATATTATGATGCAACAAGTTTTCAGTAGTCTGAAACCTTGGTTTTGTGGTTGACTTACTGTAATATACTAAGTTGTTTTTGTTACTATTTTTGTTCTGTGCTGCCATGAAATGCACAGATTCTTCTATTCAAATAAATAATATGCAAGTATAATTGCTATGGAAATGTGAAGCAAATCATAATGTGCAGGATGGGGACAGGTTATGTGTATATGATGAACATGTGTTGGTGCAAGTCGGTCCATAAAGGGCCATCAGCGAAGAAGAATAGGTTACCGTACACCAAAGGCAAATTACAGTGATTTTGATCTTTGACTTGTCATCATAATCCAGAGACCTCAAAACATGAAGTTTTTGGATAACTTCAGAGTGAACTTTTTTGGAAATAAATGCATCTGGCTACCATGTTGCACAGGTATTTGTGTAACTAATGCGTTTTACCATGAGAGATCAGGGTGTGAGTGATAACTTTGCAGGAAATAAACAGCCTACCAGTTCTATTTGAAAGGAATTTGATTTTTATTATTGTGTCTAAGTGCGTTAAGTAAGGAGTGGCAGTTCCCTGCAGCCTTTAAAGAATGTAAACACCTTCCGTATCTCTCATCCTATCAGGGAACAGGAGTTCGCGTTGACATCAGCAAGGAAAACTCATTTTAAAATGTTCCCCTGTGGGAAGCAGGACATTTGCCTGGGCTGTAATTATGCCCATTTTAAGGTTGTTGTATTTATGCAGCAGGACCCCGCCTCTCTCTGCAAAATGATACTCACGTCTCCTCATGGAAACACATGGAGCCTGTTTGGTGCTACCTTAGTGACTTTTGCTCCCTCTGAGTATGGACAAATATTGTAAAACCCATCGTGAACACCAGAATGATGTGCTATAAATCACTTTTTATCCTTTTATTTCTTTTTCCTTTTAAAGAGAGCTATAAACATCATTTGGTCTCCAAGTATTTTAAATCTATCCAGACAACCTGAGTCCCTGTTTTGCTCTTCCTAATATGCATGAGTGTGTGAATGAGTGGATTTAAAAAAAAAAGCTGCTCTTTTTAATTTTAAGTGCAATTCTGTGCAAAGAATACAAAATATAAATAGGTAGAACAGAAGTACCCTTACACTGCATCACTTCTTCAAAATTTGGACCATGAGCATTTTGTTTCCAGGGAAACACAACTCTCCGTTGGAGGACTCAGGAATTGTGGAGTCAGATTCCCTCTGGGATCTTTGTATCCGATTATTGTCTGTCATGAAACTTCCTCAAAGCTCATTGTGTTCAGCGTCTGGAAAGACAAGCCTGAGGAGATCTTTACGGGCTCTGACGCAAACGTACAGATGTGCGTTCTTGCTGAAGTCTTTCAAAGAAGGAGAGGAGACATTGCAGGAAACATGTATTGTGTAAGGTGGACTAAGAAAACGTTTAACTAAGCTTTGTTTATATAAATATGATCATACTGTAAATGAAGAGCATCTAATAATCACAGTTTTTTTCCTCTTTGAAAAAACAAAGAAGCCTCCAGATATCCACATTAAATAAGATCTTAAATAAATGCTTGTATCTGTGAGTAATCTGCTTTTAGGCAGACTAACCGGCCGCTCGCTATCAGGGATGGCCTAGGAAATCACTCCCCCTCCCATTTTCAGATCTACTTAGTCGCAATAACGTTGCATAATATGGCCATCTGCTCTTGACATTGATTTAAAAGTCTCACTATGCCTGCCGTGTAAATGTCAGCAAACATTTGAACACAAGCGGCTTTATTGATGACCTCGATGGTAACTTTTTACAGTACAGAGATTTGATTTAGAAATATTTATGAGTTTTCCTGTGATTATATTTTATTCTTTCAGAAAAAAACATCTATCAATCTATCTATCTATCTATCTATCTATCTATCTATCTATCTATCTA